GGTTCAGCGGGGCTTTTTGGTGCTTTTATCTAAAGCTGAGTCAATCAGCTATTACATAAAAGGACCAAAAAAGCCCCAGTAAAGCATTCAATCTATACAGACATCAAGTGAGCCAGGTCCAGCTAACATGCTACCTCTTCTGGGCATGCGCTGGGCTCAGCTTGAGAGCACACAGAGTTTACAGTAAAACACTGTTTTTGTTTTTTTAACGTCTGCAAGCAGCCATTATTCCAAAATTATTTCCATTATGAAATGCATTACAGGTTGGTTCTGCAAAGCCATTGGTCTGTTAGTCAGGACAGAGAACTGGGACTCAGGTTTAAATTCTGAAATGTAAGTATTTCCAGGTTGGTAACTGACCTTCACTGTAACTTTGTACAAATGTCTTCACCTCCCTGTATCTTTATTTCCATTTCCAACATGTGTCCAGCTTTGTCTATTACATTATATTGTTAATTTTCAGGTTAATATCTTTGTGTTCATACAGCAAGGACCCAAATCCTAGCTGGAACTTTTAGATGCTAATAGTAATGATAAATTATAATAATAATGATAATGAATAAAATGCTATGAAGTGCGAGTTTTGGAGGTAATCTACACACCGTGTTCTAGATTCTACAGTTGTTTAAACAGATGCATAACTTCACTCTTGGGGCTACTCATGTAGAAAAAGTTATGTATGGAGACATATGCTTGCAGAATAGTATAGCGCAAGCATTTCATTGCAAACCCATCACTACTTAAAATAGTGATGATTCCTAGTTCTTGTGTTTGGGGGTAATATCTTTTTCCTAACATTTCTTTTCTTTAGCTACTCATAAGGCTTTAGCTAGACCTATTAAATATTTTGAACATACAATGTTCACTGCAAGTTCCTTTAACTCTGAAAGGATGCTGCCTCACTGATGTGCTAAATTTTGATCACTTCAAACGCACATCAAGACATTTTGTTGTTGTTTTACAGATTAGACACTCAACCCACAGAGGATTAATTTCTACCCTTACACTGACTCATGAATTTGTAAGTTCACTCTGCTGCTTCTCTATCACAGATATAGATTCCCTGTGAAATACAGGGAAAGCAATCTGAAGTAGAGAGACACCCAAGCTGTCAAAAGGACAAAGTAAAGATTTCCTATTATGAACTATCTTACCGATCCTGCTCAATATGGAAAGATCTTCAAGGGACCACTCCCACTGATGAATAATGTTCAAGAGGGTCCTCTTCAGGCAGCTTAGTTTTAACCCTAGATATTTTGAGATACTAGAAATACCTCTGGCTTCATCACTGCTGAAGATAAGTCAAATCAAGTCAAGACTTCAATCTGTCTTTAGTGTTTTTATCAGCCAACATTTGAACAAATGACTTGCCACCTTTTATATTTTCATCCTGAGCTCTATATCTCTCCAGCAGTCAGCTGCCTTTTCTCAGCTTTACACTATCTATTTAGCAGGTTGAAGTGAATTATAGCATATTCATTGTGAACAATGCATATCACCTTTATCATTTACTCTGAAAAGACATCAATTGGTTAGAAAAAATATATTTGTATTCACTTCCTACTTCACACAAAGCCAAGGGCAATGCATACACGATTTCATTAGTGCCGTGTTACAAGGTTATGCAGAGATTTTAATGACAGTGGTCATTACGTCATAAAAACACAATAACCAATTAATGTTGGGTCTGTGGAAATATGTCCCTTGCTATATTACTTGGAAAAGAATCTCTCCTATATCTTTAGTCTCTTAGACAGGTGTCAGGTAGGGTATAGTAGCTGGTGAATAATTCCCATATTAAAAGCTAATTGAAATAAGTTGTGAGTTTATAATAGCACGTTTAAGTGGCACTTTTCAGGAGGGTCTATATGGCCTTCGTATGTACATAACTGCTCCTCCCACACCCCCGCATCCCTATTGTAAAAGTTCTAACATCTGAGTGCATACTTCAGGGTTGGATGGCCTGATGTCACTCTCCTGCCCTTGATCTGGGTCATGATCTGAACATGATATTTAGTCAGAGTCTCACATCCCTCCCTGGTCAAGTATTAGGAAGGAGTGTGACAATTCTAGCCATCAGCATGTTTCAGTTGTCCCAATCACTGGCCCAGATTATACCAAGGGCCATGGTAAATTCTCCATCAGCTGGAGTGTTTAAGAATGAGTTTGGATGCCTCTGAGAAAAAGATACTCTTGTTCATTCACATGCTATTTGGTTCAATGCAGGAATCACTGGATAAAAATCGCTGGCCTAGGTTATAGTTAGGGTCAGCATAGATGATCACTATGATCCCTTCTGGACTGAAAATCTGTGAAACCATGAATCATCAAGTATAGAACCTAGTGAAGGCAGAGTCTGAACATCAGCAACCAAACACAGGGCAGGATAAGAATGCTGATGAAATATATATTGGTAGGGGGTGTACTCTGTTACCTATTTATGGATCACAGAGTTACTAAATTACATTGAAAAGTAAAGCCTGCGGAATTTTTCTATAGAACTATCATTTCAACATAGTAATATAGTCATGAAAAGAGGCTCCCAATTTGCATACTGGAAATGACTGAAAACTTCAAACTTAGGTTAGGACTTACATTTGACAAAGTTGTAGTAAATACGTAAAAACACTAGCAATTTTATAAAAGCATTAACATATTACAGCCAATGAACAAAAATCAAATTCTGGATAGTGCTGGATTATGTGTTCTATTTTGATCTCCACCTTCTGTACTCGCATTTCACGTACAGTAGAAAAAACATACCTAGGTCTGCATAGTTACACTTGCAAAATTGCTTGCGTCCACAAAAGTACAGCTCAAAGTCAGGTTCATTTGACCTGCGTAAAGTGTATCCATTTTCAAGAGCAGCAAAAGCATCACAAGTATAGCGGTAGGTGATGAAACCATAGCTGTCTCTGTAATTGAAAAATACAGTTGTGAACAAAAGCTAAAAAAACATTAATGCACGTGAATGTAACCCTTTCCTGAAAGCAAGAACTTACTGGAGTTCCAATAGTGCAAAAGCCAAAACTACTGCATCCATTTATCAGCATGATTGTCCTGTCAGGCAGCTAAATACTTATTTCTGGGACAGGAAATCTCAACTAGCAAGATTAATAAATAAGGATGAAAGAAAATAAATAAGGTTTTGAACTCAGCATGTCATCTGTCACAGCACTTACACTGGTAACTCCCATACCAGTAATCTTACCTCCATAATTTTTTACATATGGCAGCTTCCAAACAAGAAATAATCTTGAAAGTTCGTACCCATCATCCCGTAGATTTACTGTGCACTCCTCAATTTCACCAAAAACTTCAAAGCGGTCCCTCAGTTCTGTTCGAGTTGTGTCAGGTCTGATTTTACCCACATATATCACACGACGTTCTTCCTATTGAGAAGGGGAAGGAGGGAAGAGACAGTTTTACTATGTGAGTAGCGCAGATGATCTCTGTTTACCTGTACGGTTGTGCTGAGGATGGGCAGTCAGAGTAATATGGTATGAGGAGAAAAGGACTGCTTAGATCCCTCCCCCTATTAATAATATAATACAGTTGTCTAAAGAAGAACATGAGGCATTTTAACAGTATCAGAGTTCATAGCAATATATCCTGTATCCCTCCTCCTCTTAATGTAGTAACATAGTTCTCTGAAGAACAAATGAGGAATTTGAACAGAACATTTGATAAGCAGTAAGGGCCAGGGGACATTGGAAGGCTCTATGGAAGGATCAGCCAATATTGTGCTTTATGGACTTAGGTCAAGTCACTTCATCTCTCTCTGCATCTGCTTCCTCTCCAATTCTTTTGCCACATGTGCATGGCAGGAGGTGTGATTGTGGGATTGTGCATTAGATCCCACTGCGCCTTATTGCCAGCACAGGGGGAACCTGATCACAAGCTCCCTCTGCACCAGCGAGAAGCAAGCTCCCACGGCTGAGGGGTGTGTAAAGTCCCTGGGGCTCAGAGACCATGGCTGCCATGATCTCCCAGCCCCAGAGGCTTCAGTCACACATGAGGCTGGGAGATCACAGCTACACCCCATGGCTGTTGGGACCAGAGGCTGGCACCCAGCCTCTGCAGTGATGGGACTAGGTCCTAGCAGCCATGGGATGCTACTGGGACCCAGAGTCAGCAGGTGCTGGGAATGAGCATTCCCTCAGTTGCAGGACTCCCTGTTGCTCTGGCTGGACATGGGTATACTTGTGGCTGGGTATGGTGTGCCTGTGCAGCTGGAAGCCCAAGCAGCTAATAGGCTCCCAGCCACAGAGGAAACCCTGCTACACATGCAAATTAAAGCTGGATACCAACCAGCTATAAAGTTAATATATATTTTGAGGTCTAACTCTGTAACGTGTTGGACCTTTTTATGATGTGATAGGTGCTTTGCACATGTAGCTGGTTTCAGTTAGTTACACAATTAACTAGCTAACTGTGCAATACCTATAACTTGTAGGAGTGGCCTTACTTTGTGTGTACACAATGCCCACCACTATGGGGACCCCAATTTCACTTTGGGACTAGCATATACAAAATAATAAATAATGAATTATAAATCCACACGTAGCAGACAACTCAGGGATGATCAGCATTCCTATCATAATCCACAGTAATTCATAACCTCAAGATTAAGGAAGACCTGTTTTCAGCTTGACAGACAAATTTTAATTAAATTCATGGTTTCTTTGATGAAGGGAAATAAAACATTTCTTGAAGTTACAGTTCCATTTTTGATTTGCTCTTTTGCCACTTGGAGCAAAGGTACTTTTTGAATTGTCAAGGCAAAGCCATCTCAAAGTTTCCTAAAATAAAATCTTTGGCAGAGTGACAGAGAGACTAGGAACCCCTGTGAGGGTCACCTTATGGATTTTCTGATTAATACTTCACTCAGATGGATTTACCAAGCTGCAGAACAGGCAACAGGTGGAAAGGGATCTCCACATCCTAAGTTTCCTGAGAACAATAGGGCAAAGTAGCACTAGTCATACAACTCTTCAGTGCAACTTAATCTTCCCCAATCCTAGGCAGCCCAATTTGTTAAAATACTAGGATTTCCCCCTTTACCCCAGATGTAGCATCCTGTCTAGAGCCAAATCTTTATCTGGGATAAAGTACTGTCACTCTACTCCTCAACAGAGTGCTGTCAATTTTTACTGGAAGAGAATATGGTTTTACTAGTGGAGAATATGGACAACAATGCAGTACAAAGAACTTAATGCTACTAAGAGAAGCATTTTGGGTAACCATGGTGTTATGAGGATGTGCTATGAGGGTAGCAGCTATCTCTTGGTCCCACTCTCACCCATTTCTTTTCATTATGTCTCAGCCCAGATCCATTTTCCTGTTAACAGGGGAAGAGTTTTCAGAGTGGCTTTAATGAACTACAGAAGATGGGAAAGAACATCTGATATAAGTCTTCCAACATGCCTGTCCAAACTCTTCTTGCTTTTCCTAGTTTGGCATGAGAAATCACTTGTCCCGTAAACTTTAAAAACAGGAAAGTCTGCACAGTAATTATTTTTTTAGGCCGCCTTATCAAATCAAGGATTTAACCACATTAAAATACTTGATAAGAAACAATTCCATTGATACTAGCTTTTGAACTAAATGACTACCAGATGGAGCAGAACATAACATAGCAGACTGTCTAATACACCTTGGATGAGATAATATATCTCAAATGAAAAAAGATACGGCATTTTTACGTGTGGTTTGGGACAAGGCACCAGGCGCTTAAATTAGTGAGCTGGGGTAATTAAAAGCGCCTGCGCGTCACATGCATCAGCATCTCCGCACTGAAAAAATGGCAACAGGGCGCTTTGAACTAAAGCTCATCAAATGCTTTTTATTTCAAAGTGCCCCACCACCATGTTTTCAGTGCAGGATCGCATGGGGACACCAATGTGTGTGATGCGGAAGGCTGCTGGAGCACATCAATTTCCATGCCCTGGATTTCTAGCATGTTGGAGCAGGCTCTCCGCACGTGTATAGGAGCCCATAATATTTCACACACTGACATTAAAAATGTAATATAACAATGTGATGGAAATAATTCTTGCACACATTTCTGAAAGACTGTATAGGTATGTATGTGTTTTTGTTTTGTTTTGTTTTTCTGTCTTTTTAATAACTTCTAAGACAATTATAAAAATAAAAAATCTAAACAATTAACACAACCCTGATTGAGTATCACTAAGGGAATAAGCTAAAACTTCAAAATCAAGGAAATTCAAATTTAAAGCTGAAATGTACATATGAATTGCATATGTCGTACAATATGTAGTCACATAGAGAAGTTCTTATAACCATTTTCTTAAATGGGTTCCATGGTGGTCTAGGTACTAGAAAACATAGGGTTTATGAAATATTGATATCGGCATGGCTAACTTTTGCTTATTTGTGGCTAACATTTGCAATAGGAACGTATTTGTAGTCTTCTCATAAAGACACAAACCTTTTATTCACATAAATAATATGAGCTACATAAGCATAACAAGCTTACAACATACCCCTAAATGTTAAAGTATTTTGTTTTATACCAAGTTACACATACAAATCCCTATCTGTGTATTAAATATGCCCTTTAATGCACTTGCTAGAGGAGATGATGTGTGAAAAGAGACATTGGAAAATTACAGAGAAATCCTTTTGTCTCCAATTTAATGTGGCACAGAGAAATCTCCACAGAACCCTGGAAAGGCTGCCAAGATTTTCACCCCAAGTCAGCAGATCATTTACCTTGCATCACAAGCTTTGAGTGTGGTTCACTGATTTGCTAGGTAAATGAAAAAACGTAGGATGCCCTGCCAAACCCCTCAGGCCAAACACACCTGTCTTCTTTATTTTCTGGTCCATCTCGAGCACACATTCCTTTTTTCCTACCCTATAATTTCCTTTTGCAGAAAAGCTACTATACTCACAAACTTGGGCTCCAAATCTATTAATATTATTTAGAGTTTCAACTTTTAAAAGGCTATTAAAGTATTACCAAGATTTGTCTGCAGTCAAAATAAGATCAAGGTTTACCATCTATTTGGACCAGAGAACAGCCATTCTGTCAAAAACTCCCATCTCTGCTACAATTTTTCATGCCTTTCAAATTTATTCCTCCACAACTTTGTCCTGAACTCTCTCCTTCTTTCACAGCTTCAGCTCTGCAAAGGACTAAGGCTAAGATCCTTGTACGTATTTTGGTGCCTAACCTCCACACTGATTTTATCTTCTCTAAGCCTGGCTTTCCATTGCCTGTTCTCTTTTCCCTGTTGACTGGTAGTTAAGTGATCCCTGAACTCTGTAGTAACCAAAGACAGCCCAGGGCAAAGCCATGCTCAGCAGTGTCCCTTTCCCTTCTACCTCTCCTTTGCACATTAGTGGCATGCACATGCTAGAGAACTTTGATAAAGAATCAAACAGTGTTGCTCACTACCTCCTTGAAGAGAATGCACATGCACTGCTTAATAGGGCTGTGCGAAGCTTTGGGTGCTAATTCGATTCAGAGGAGATCTGGCCTGATTCAGTGGCTGAATCGCCGAATTGAATCAGGGGACCAATTAAAAGGTCTTAATTGATTTGAAGCTCTCCGAATCTATTGAGAAAAGATTCAGAGAGCTTCAGTGATTTGGGCAGTCCCTGCTGGCTGAAGCAGGGAACTGGACCCGGACTCCATGCTGGTAAGTAGGGGATGGGGGAGGGAAGGGTGGAGGAGGGGGGAGGGGACCATGGGTGGACCCCTGCCAGGCCCAAACCCCTGCCTGCTCCTGCAGCCCGCTAAGCACCCCCTGACCGCTTGACCAGTCCCCACCATGGCTGCCCCACCCGCCCCAGCTCCCGGTTGTTTTTTGTTTTTTTTAAAGAGCCAGGAACTGGGGAGGGCAGGGCAGCCATGAGGGGCTAGGAGAGCGGGCATGGGTTGGGGGCTCATGGCAGAGCCCCCCATGCAGCGTGGGGCAGTGGGGGGGAGAGGGGGTCACCCTCCCACCCAGCAGCAGCCG